TTTTTTTTTCTCCATTACATATAACTGTAGAACTTCACCAGATGAAGGCGTGTTGTTGTACTTGCGAGGAACTTGCAGGGTATCTCTTGTCTCCAACTCGAGCTCGGTTTCTGGTCGCATTCTGTTTGTGTCCTCAGGCTTCGTATTTTGGCCACTTTAACCCTTTTTAACCGTGTTTTTCTGTTAACATTTAGGAGAAGAACAGTTTTTAAATCATCACAAACACAGACTCTACCGTTGAGCTCTCGATGTGCTGTTCCTTTTTATTTGTTTTTTTTCATTTTCAATATTTTAATCCCTTAATTTGTGGTTTTGTGACAGACCAGGCTGTTGCTTTTAATTGCCAAAAAAAACAAAATCCTTTCTTTCTTTCGCCTAAATTTGTGACCTTTTGTTTGTTTTGTTCTTTTTCTGAGTTTGTACAGATGTGATACTGTGTGGTTTAACAATCAGTTTGGTTTGTAAAAAATTTTAATGTGTATAACATTTAACATAATATAAACTAATGAGACTGAGGGTTGTTGTATATTTTGCGCGATGGAGACGTGTAAATTGGACAGAGATTGCACTGAAGAAGACCTCGAACGTGGTGCTTCACTGGAACGAATTCAAACGGGAACAAGTCGGAGGTTGTCTTGTACAAACGGTTAACCCAACCTTCATAGGGATCTTGTCACATAACCTTGAGAACCACCTGCTGCCTACCTTTCAGAAGTGTTTGTGTATTTTTTACACATTAAGGACTCGATAAAGAGCGAACCTATCCTCTGGTTTCAACCCCTCACTTCTTTCAAAAAAACAAAACGAAAAAAAAAAAGGACCACGGAAACAAGCCTCCACAACTGCTGTGCCACAAATGACAATGGATCTCTTTTTCTTTTCTTTTTTTTTTTTCTCTTTTCTCCCCCCTTCAAGTGGATGTTGTCAAGGAATATGTGTAACTGGTTATTAGTTAGGACTACTGATATAAGAAACATTACTGGACTGGGATGCTGAAGAAGCCGTTACCAGCAGCAAAAGTTTTAAATTTAAGAAGCTTGTCTCTAACCAGCAGCTGCACTTGACACCGCTGTGTGTAGCACATGGAAAACACTGCCAGGTTTATACCTGTTTCAGTTTACGCACAGTTTCAAAAATTGAGTCTACTTGTGTCAACTGTCATACCAGTATGTTTGTATAGTTCAGGTCAGACTGAAATATTTTAATTTTACTTAATATTTATAATATAGTCAAAGGTGGAAATATGAGCTAACAACAAGGACAAAAACTGACAAAAGCAATGCAAAAAGTAACGTCCAATAGACAAAGTTATACTGTGTCGTTTAAAAAAAAAAAACAGTAGTAGATCTGGATGACTACAAAATTTACTGAATTGAAAAAACAAAAAAAAAAAAAACAGGCATGGTTATGAGTATTTTCATAATATTAAGGCTTGTACAGTGCACATGCTTTGCATTGTATGTTTTGTGGAATAAATGGTCAACAGTGAAGAGCAAGTTGGTGGTTTTTATTTTTGAAAGCAAGCGGACACTGAGACAAGAAGCGTTTCTTTGTGTTTTTTTTTTTTTCTTGCAAAATCTCAAATGAATGCTCTGTATTCAAATAACGTAAATCTGTATTATTTGGATATTAAATGCTTGGTTTTAAATAATGATAAATGTGCAAGAAATTGGAATATTCTCTGAGCAGTCATGACGTTTTTAGTGCAAATCAATGGCAGCGATTGAAGCTCTTTCCCGGTGTTTTCCAATCACATGTGCATCTTCTGATGGTGTCTCCTGAGATGATAGCTGCGGGAGAAGCTCTTCCCGCACTGTGTGCACTTGAACATTTTCTGTCCCAGGTGGAGCATCTGGTGAGCTTTGAGGCTCTGCGGACGGCTGAAGCTTTTGCTGCACTCGGGGCAGCTGTAGGGTCTCACCCCCGTGTGCTTCCTCTCGTGTCGCTTCAGGTCTCCCGACTGCCGGAAGCTCTCCCCGCAGTGGGTGCACAGGTAGGGTTTCTCTCCGGTGTGAGTCCTGAGGTGCACGTTGAGCTGGCCGATGTACGAGAAGCTCTTGCTGCAGTGGGTGCAGCTGTACGGTTTCTCGCCCGTGTGAACGCGCTGGTGCTGCTTCAGGCCGTAGTGGTTGGTGAAGCCCTTCCCGCAGTCGGTGCACAAGTACAGAACCTTCACCTGCCTGAAGCACGTGTGAGATTTGAAAGCTTTGGTGTCGGCGCAGCTTTTTCCACATTGCGGACATGTGTATTCTTTCTGCCCCTCCTCTTCCTCTAGCTGGTCCATTAAGCTGTCTGAATCGCAGTGTGACAGGAACTCGACAGGGTGGTGCCTCTTGATGTGTTTAATAAGGTAGCTCTTCACGGTGAAGGAGAACTGGCAGAACGAACACGGGAAAAGCTCCGACGTGCAGTGATACTTCATGCACGTGTTGCTTTTCTGATGCTGTTTGAGGTTTCCGGATGTCGTGAAGGTTTTACCGCAGCGGTCGCAGCTGTAAGATTTTGCCTTCGCGTGCACCATCTGCTCATGTCTTTTCAGGAAGCCGGATTTGCTAAAAGTCGCCCTGCACTGTCCACACTTGTGCTGTTTTAAAGTGCACTTGTGCGCTTTGAGATCTTCTGGGTTTCCGTACGTTTGCTTACAGCGATTGCAGCTGAACCATTTGTATTTCGTGAGTTTGCCAGTTTTCCCAGCGGGTGCCTCTGGTTCGGCTGAGCTCCTCTCAGCAGGAGCGGGATTCGCTGCCTTTCGTTTCGGTGCGATGAGCTTGGTTATGGCAGAAAGTTTAGATCTCGCTCCGAGCCGCTGAGGCCTCTGAGTGGGAAGGCTTTGGATTGATTCTTCTTGATTCCCAACTGCGGTGTCTTCTGAGTGATGCTCGTTTATGTGCTGCTGAAGGCTTTCCACGGAAGAAAACGCTAGCGAACATTCGGCACAGCTGAAGGGCATCGTGTTGGCCGAGTCCTCTGGATCCTCGCTTATTACCCCTGTTCTCTTATTCTGTTTCTGATGACGCTGCAGATGCCTGGTCAAGTCGTTGTACTGGCCAAAGCATTTCTGACACACAGTGCAGACGTACGGACGTAACCTCTCGTGGACCGTCACTTTGTGCTTTTTCAGGGACGCTTCATTCGTGAAGCTTTTACCGCAGTCTGAGCAGCTACACTGGCCGATTTCTGCCTCATCTGCAGAGGCATTTGCAGTTTCAGTTACATCCACAGCTTCTTGTTGATTCTCATTTATGCTCAGCTCTTCTGTTTCCTCAGATGCCGCTGGATCTGCAGCATGAAAAAGTTCCGACCTCGGTGTCGCGCTCTCTCCTTTGTCGAGGAGTTTGCTCTCATCAGGAGTTTGTATCACAGCTTGCTTCCTGTGAACGAGCTGGTGTCTGATTAAGCCAGATGCCTGGCTGAAGCTTCGCCTGCAGTGTGGGCAGCAGTAGGGGCGTCTGTTGGAGTGGACGCAAAGCTTGTGCCTCCTGAGGTGAGGTATTTGCTTGAAACTCTTCCCGCAATCGTCACACGTTTTGGCATCTACGGAATCAACAGACAACACCACCAAGGATGCCGCAGAGTGACCTGAGTCAGCACCGGGGGCGTGATCTTCGGCTGCTTTGGGCTGAGCGTGGAAGTATTCTGTGTGTCGCTGGAGGAAGGCCTCTGTAGTGAAGGACAGCTGGCAGTGGGAGCACAGGAAGATCTGAGATGTCGCAGAGATGTTGTTCTCTGCATTTTGGAGGAAGAGATGGAAAATAATATCAACATAGCTAGAAAGAAAACAGCAGATTTTTAGTTGAAACTAGCAAAGTAAAGGTACCTGTTGCATTCAGCTTCAAAAACCACATCTGGGTCCAAGCTTCACTAAACTGGTTGAGAAGTCTGTTGCTGGGCCACACCATGAGCTCATCTCCGGTATGTATGGTGCGACAGCAGTGAAAAAGGATGCTGCCTTTGTACTGGACCGCCAGCAAGTTTGTTTCGTCTTTATTGCGAGCGCAGTTGACGTACCTGTGTCAGAATAACGAAAGGAGCAAAATGTTTTGTGAGATATGAAAGCAGAAATTCAGAGGAAAAAGTCAGGATTTTAAGCAGCGTTCGTTAAAGCGATTTTCTTTTTTCCACAACTCGTCACATTTTGTCACATTAAGGAGTCATCGACGCCTGCATGTAACAGTAGGAGGTGGTGAGTCTGAGTGGCTGTGATTTAGAATCTGGGCTTTTTAACTAGTCACTTTGCAATTCACCATTTTTTCATTGTGATGAATTATTATCCGAGTTCCGCAAACTCCAGCCTGTCAGGACATTGAGTTCTTACTTTTCCTAACTACAGAGACAGCTTTTGTGGCAGGGCCAGACTTCACTCAAGACTTCACTGCCGCATCGAGGCTTGTGCAGATCTCATTTAGGACGTCAAAGTCAGGACTGTGTGAGACTGATAACAGTTCCTTTTTGTTACACACAGCAGCTTTAGTTCCAGCAGCAGCAGCATGTTCTGGCTCTGGTGCCAACAGGAGAAATGGTTACAGATCCGATTCAGCTTGACAAAAATGCAAACTGTGCACTGAGAGTTCTCTTTTATGTTTGCAAACTTCTAATCAGTTCTCTCCCACCTCTTACTTACTTACTCATTTATGTGGCACCATAAAAATAGCATTGATTAATATTAGACAAAGTGACTGATGCCAGCTGATTCTTGTCTATTAGTTTCTGTTACGGACAAGAAATTATACTTCAATATTAAATGGCCAATACGAGCTGTGTTATCTCTTTATATGTGACAAAAAAACTTTACAGTACTGTGATGTAACAACACTCCACAAATGAACCTATTTCTCCTTTTCTGTTTCTGCAGGATCATAACTATAAAGTTGTGGTCCATCATATGCATATGAATGTATATTTTTGACCTCTTCAGGGTCAAAACTGCTATTAGGATCCATATTTGTTCAGGTAAACTACACCGAGCCTCGCTGCTAACGCACCAAGCTGTGTTTTTTGAGGCATGCATAAAACAAAAACTACTGTTAATGTTAGTGTCCACATATTTTTTCAGTAATATAGTTTCTGCTTTTTTTCCCCTACACATGAATTCACTGGAGCTGCCAACCTGCAAGTTAATCTTTAACATCTGCAGTATGAAGTGAAATACAACAAGTTTAATTTAAAAAACACAAATTTCAGAAGTGCAAAACACTGAATTTCTGACAAAGAAAATCGTGGATTATACCACACCTGCCTGCTTACTCAAACACTGCCCGCTGAGCGAAAGCTATCGCTGAACGTTTGTTTGCACAGACGGCATTTCAGCCACATTTTTTACTTCTCTGTCGCATACGAATCTGACGGAACACACAAGCTTCTGCTATAATCAATACAGCTGTATACACAAGCTGAACGACAGTCTGTTTTACTTCAGTCGTTGTGTTTTGGGCTCTGATGGCTGTCAGTGCTGTGTAGACACCAAAGCTGCAACTGCTGCTCTGCTATCATGCTGCTTTCACTGAACAGCCTGCGTCAGTTTCTCAATAACCAACACCCCAGACGTACAATTTAAATAAATTCTGTCACTGAAACACTAAACTAAAGTCCAAGTTGTAAAATTCAATACCTCATCCAGTTTGAGTGGGTTTCTTTGGCAGCGTCGATGTACTCATACTCATCTTTTCCCTTGTAAATCTGCAGAAAATTAGCATATCAAGAGACAATTCACACACGATAACCTAAACAAGGAGCTCAAAGTTGGGACTTAATGACATTTCGCAGATTTCAGTATCCAAGCTCACCTCCCAGGAGAAGTCACTCGCCATGGCATTTTCCCTTGTTGTCATTTCTCCCTCACACGGTCCAAAATGCATCCCAGGAGACACTATCGGTCCGTGATTTATGACCCCGACCCCAGCACAGGGAATACTGGATCTGCCTATCATCAGGCCGTAGGGTAAAGTGAGGAGGGCCCTCTGCGGGACGCCAATGCTCGTTGGAAAGTCAATAATAAAAGACGGGCCATTAATGTTTTCAGGGTCACTCTGGTCCTGGAAGAGAGTCAGACACTCCTCACAGTCTAGAAAAAGGAGGAAACAGAAGAAATCAGTGACTATTCTTATGGGTTAAACCCTATGTAATCTTACACGCTACTGAAATATCGGCTATTAGGTCTCCTTGATTGAAATAATTAGTAATAACTGTTGTCTATTGACTTCTTAGAGAACTAATTGTGGACATTCAAGTGCCTGGCTACAACCTTGCCAGTAGTTCAGTGTCAACTCAGAAAAATCTAATCAATCAGACCCTGCATTTGAAATAATAATCATAACAATACTAATGACAATTATCTTTCTTTTATAGAGCAATTTTCAAAAATTCAAGGTCTTTTCGGAGAAGCAAAATAAAAAATACAGACATAAAATGGTTGGAAATTAGAGGACAGATAAAAGCACAACATGATGTATGAAAGGTAAAAATGTTATTGAAAGAAATGAAAGACAGATCAAAAGAAATTAAAGGGACAGAGTTGTCAGTGGGGTTTCGTTTTCAGCTGAGCCCCAGGGAGACACATCAGACCTCCAAAGTACGTCCCTGTGCAAAAAGTACTACAAGTTTGGAAATATAACTGCGAGAGAAGCAGTGAAGGGCCTTGGAAGTAATTGGTAAAATCTTAAAAGCTTCCTAAATCATATTGGAGATGCTACAGTTAGCACAGTAGTTGTTGGTCCACCTAATAAACATGCAGCTCAGGATAATACCAGAAGAAGAAAGACAGTGTTTAGCTTACAGAAGCCATTTTCACTCTCTGGATTGTCTCCATGTCCCACAGTGTCCAGCAGCTTCTGGATTGGCGTTTCTGCTGCCTCTAAAACCGGTAACACTACAACAACAACACAGACACTAGTTTAGAAGCTGCTTGAAAACACGCCTGTGGTTTAAATGTCGGTGTAGTTTGTGATTCTGTCACCTGCAGGGCTGCTGTTTTCACTGGGGAGGCACTCCTCCGTTACAACAACCTCCTCGGTTGTCTCGACCCACTCCACACCGTTGCTCCTGGCCGACATGAGTAGAAACTCTGCGGACAGTCGGTGGAAATGATAAATCTCAGCTGCTCACACAAACACAAATTAAGCAGCGCTGCAACAGCAGACAGGCAGCTAACGTTAGCATGCTAACCTAGCTTGCTAATGATGGAAAGAGCAACCAGGTTAGCCGGCTAACATTTGAGCTATCCTTCATAAAGATATGGTTGTGATTTAATTAAGGAGAAAGACTGCTGTAGAGTTAGTTTGTCATGACTAGCAACGCTGCTTTATTAAATGTAGCTGTCGTAGCACAATTAGCACCTAAAGACTGGCATTAAAATTCAAAACACTGCACCTCCAGATCACACTTTCTAAATGAATGTATTTTAAGTGTTGTACCTCGTCGACTCTCAACGGCTGTTATCCTCGGAAAGCTAGCTTACTTGTGTTTGAAACTATAAGGTTTTTTTTTTTAGCAGTTAGCATATAAAGCTGATAAAAACCCCAGAAACTAAACAATCTCACAGAGAAGACGTCCCCCCGGAAGTAAATATACTGCCTTTCAGAATAACAGTAGGCACTTCTGTTCTTTTCGAAATAAAAGCGGTAACGGTCAGAGAGTTTATTGTAACGCAACGTCAAATTGGTTTCTATGCTACTACAGCATTTCTAGCATTCTCGAATCCCCAAATACTGAAACAAAAAATCTAAAAGTACATAATTACTATAACAAGACCAAGCGGTTATGAATATCACCTAATAATATAAAGATATCCGATGACCACAAACGCAACGGCGCCGCTGGTGTAGTGGTATCATGCAAGATTCCCATTCTTGCGACCCGGGTTCGATTCCCGGGCGGCGCACGTGTTTTTGTCTTTTCATATGGAATTTACACAAAATGAAACAGAGTAAGTCTCCCTTGCAGCAATTCCCACTGTGCATACACATAAATAATCAAATAAATACAGCAAATGGAACACTGTTATGCTACATAATGTGAATATGTAAAAGGTGCCTGTGTTTATTGAACAGTCCGGTTTTAAAGCTCAGAGTTGAGCAAACGGATGGCCTGAGGGAAGAAACTCTTCCTCATTCTCTCAGTGGCAGTCTTTAGGCAATGATAGCGTCGGCCTGACGGCAGCAGGGAGAAGAGAGAGTCTCCAGGATGGCTAGGCTGCTTCAGGATCCTCACAGCCCTTGACCTGCAACGTTGGGTGTAAATGTCCTGCAGGTTGGGGAGGGTGGATCTGATAGTCCACTCAACTGAACGGACCACCCTCCTCAGGACCAAGAAGTCCTGCTTGGCGCAGCAGCCCATTCAGGTGGTGATGCTCCCACACAGGATGCTCTCAGTGGTTCAGGTGTAAAAGTTCCTGAGCACTGTGAGTGGGAGCCTGAAGTCCCCCAGGCGTCCGAGGCAGAAGAGATGCTGTCCGCCCTACCCCACAGTGGCCTTCATGTGAGGTGACCAAGACAGGTCCTGTGTGATTGTCACATCTAGATATTTAAAACTGTCCACTCTTTCCACCTCAGACCCACCTACGCGGAGTGGATGGAAGACCCTCTGCTGTTTCCTGCAGAAATCCACAATCACTTCCTTAGTTTTGCTGACATTCAGCAGGAGATTATTCTCCTAGCACCAGTTCTCCAGGTGGATGACCTCCGTCCTGTAGGCCTGCTCGTTTTTGTGGGAGATGAGCCCCACAATGGCCGTGTCGTCAGCAAACTTTATTATGATGTTACTGTCTGATGTGGGCTGCAGGGTGGCGCAGTTGGTAGCACTGTTGCCTCGCAGCAAGAAGGTTGCCGGTTCGCACCGGAATCTTTCTGCGTGGAGTTTGCATGTTCTCCCCGTGCAGCGTGGGTTCTCTCCGGGTTCTCCGGCTTCCTCCCACAAGGTCCAAAAACATGTTGAGGTTAACTGGTGATTCTAAATTGTCCGTAGGTGTGAATGTGAGTGTGCTTGGTTGTCTGTCTCTAAGTGTGGCCCTGTGATAGACTGGTGACCTGTCCAGGGTGTCCCCTGCCTTCACCCTAAGTAGGCTGGGATAGGCTCCAGCCCCCCATGACCCTAGTGAGGATTAAGCGGTGTATAGATAATGGATGGATGGATGTCTGATGTGGATATACAGTCATGTGTGTACAGAGAGCACAGCAGAGGGCTCAGCACGCAGCCCTGAGGAGATCCAGTGTTGAGGGTGAGGGGGGATGATGTGTGGCTACCCACGTGTATCATCTGTTGTCTGCTGGTGAGGAAGCTGTGGATCCACCTGCACAGGGAGGTGTTCAGTCCGAGGTGGCACAGCTCTTAAAAGAAGTGCTGTTTACAAACCTCAATACTAAAGTATATATATTGTTCAATAAAAGCATAAGAATCTATTGTTAATTCAGTGTAGGATGATAAATAAATGAATTTATCTACGTGGAAGTATTAAAACATGTTGCATGACTTTAAATTGCCAATCCTAACCAAATGTGTTGAGTTATTGCAATATTTAATGTTCGGCACAGTAGTAGAAACAGTGATAGTAAGTAAAGCAGGTCATGGTATGGATATGACAGAAACCTTAGAGAGTGTGCAAAAGTAAGAAAACAACACTGACCTGTGACACAAGAACAGTGAGGCCTTCAGTCTGGAAAGTATTCAGGAAACTGCCAATCGAATGAATGCATGGTTGCAAGATAAAAATTCAAATTTATTTCTTTAGATAAACCTTTTAATCTTGATAATTACATCAACTTAATGTTTTGTGTGATTCAAACAGAAAATGTGTATTGATTTATATAATTTATTGAATTTCCCTTCTGGGATAAATAAAGTATTTTTCATTTCATAAAATAAAATAAAAATTAAAGTTTTAATAAAGTAATTAAATTGGCTTGATAACATAATTTTTCTCCACCTTGAGTTAAGGATTATGAGTCCTAAAAAAACTTGTGTTTATGCTAACAGTTATGAAATATTTGGTCATTTAGAAAACCACTGACTGCAGAAGAAATGTTAATATTACTAACTCAGTATTGCTGGACCATACTTTCATTAGAATTTGTCATAAATCCAAAAAGATTCATGCAAACAATAAAATATCTAAATATTTTAAAACAAGCTATTTACTCAGCTACATGTTGGTGGTTATTATTGAACCTAAACCTTGTTTTTAGTGTGTAATCATTTTGTCAGTCGCATTTTCCACCTTACTGTCCCTCCAGTGTTGAAAGGAAACCTTCGTTCCTGCGTCAACAGCATCCATCCCCAGCTACAGCGTGGAACCTGTTGCCTGGCAACCTGCTGAATGAGGTCTGTATGTTTGTCGGTGTTAAAAAGGCATCAACTGTTGCCTGGCAACAACGTAGCCAACTTGAAGCGCCACTAGCTATGTATAGCATCGACATGGAGTCCGTTAAAGTTAGTAAACGTGTCTCAGCGTGTGAATTCAACTGTAAAACGTGGGAGGAATGTGTCAACCAGTGCGGGATGTGTCCTTCTTGCGTCTTTGCTCCAAGAGCTCCTGGTTGCGCTCAGAGTTTGTGGAAAGTGTCCGACGAATTCAAGAGGAAATTCCTGGTGAAGTTGGTTTTACGCTGCAATAACGTCCATGTGTGGGAAAGCATCCAAAGCGCGCTGTGCGTGACATCGTGGACTTACGGCAGATCGAGACGCCCAACTCCACCTCTGGATCACCCTTCCAGCTGTTCACACCGAGAGGTGGACGGGAAACCAGTGGATATGAGTGCAATCTGGGACTGGTTCAACAGCAGTCCACACTGGATGAAGTCCAACTACCTGTGCCGGATATTCACACTGTGTGACGCAGAACTTTTACGCATGATCTTCAACTTAACCAGCGTGCTTCTGGTCAGACACAAACGAGGATTTCTGCAGTTTAATGGTGAGATTACAACGAAAATTGAGTTAGAACAACGTCACTTCTTTGCAATATCCCCCTGTGTGAATTATAAATTATGCAAGCTCACCTCAGAGCTGTATTGAGTTGCACTGCGACGCCCAGTGCCACCGCTAGAGGAGGCCAGAGGAGAGGAGGCAGATACATACATTGAGGCTTTTTTTTTTTTTGAAGTCTTTGGGCTAAACCATCAGTCTGTTTACTTTTTGGAGATGACTTTCACTTGTGAAGTGATTTAATGACTAAAAGATCTTTACTTTGTGGTAGGATTGCCATCAGGGGATCAGAGTTTACATATTGACCCTAGTCCAAGGCCCAGGGGGCATCAAGGCAAAGCTCTAAGGTCAAAGGTTGAGCTGAAACTGAAAACAAGAACCACAAGTGGCTGAGGGGCCCAATTTGGAAAGTTCTGTCTGTTCATCCATGATTTCTTACCACTGGCCTGCTCAGAACTTTACTTAAGCATTTTTATTTTATTTATGTCATGTCATTTTTGTCAAAAAAGGTCACGTT